GTGAAACATATTTGTGACCATTTTACAGAAGATAAAACAGGCTCACAGGTTAAATGACTTGTCTGGAATTACACAGCTAGTAAGTGACAAAGCGAACCTAGATTCATGCCTGCAGGGGGTAGGTTCTGCACTAAGTCTGTTTTTAAAAGAAAAATCATTGTTATTGCTGTTGAGTTGGCTGTGACTTATGGCGACCTTCTGTATAACAGAAGGAAGCATTGCTTGGTCCTGTGCCAGCTTCATGATCATAGGTATGTTTGAGTCCATTGTTGTCGCTATTATCTGTATTCATAATGTCATTTAAGTCTTAAAACACAGGGAATAGTTGTAAGGACATCTATTTTACAGATGGGGAAATGAGGACCAAGCAGGTTTTAAGGAACTTGCTTAAGTCCCACAGCTAATAAGTGACAGAGGCAGGATGCGTCCTCAGAATTCACTCGTTTGACCCCAGACTCCAGCTCTTTAACCAATACTCAGTGCCACCACTGGGGACAACAGCAGAGAGAACTCAATTTCTATTTTTAATTTGTTATTTAGAAATTAGACAATATTATATCAAAAAATGTTTAAAAACCAGGTTTCAGAGTCCTTTCCCCCAGATATTTTGAGTGTCTGCTGCATGCCAGGCTTTTTTATGTTCAGATGATGGGGATGAAGAGAACGAACCCCACCCCTATTCTCAAGTTTCTCATGCTCCTTAGCAAAGCCGCCATTTTCATTTTTAAGTGCTCTGTTCCAAACCTGTTCCCTGAATATATATGATTTGTACATAATATCATAATTATTGTATTCTATTTTTCAGTTAATATTGCAATGATCGTATGCTTACGTTGCTAAAGAAGTTTTATACTTACTGTTTGTTAAAGGTGGCCTAATATTTTGAGATTCACTCCATCCTTCATGTTGGACCTTTAGTTATTATCTTTCCCATCACCCTCTGGGGAAGCAGCATGACACAGAGGTGGAACACCCTGCTCCCAAGTCCCACGTCTGAGTTCCAATCCTCAGGTTACTGAGTAGTAGGAGAAGAACCTTACTGAACTTCTCTTTGCTTCCATTTCCCTACATATAAAAAGGCAGTGACAATAATACTATTTTACATGCAGAGCTGTTGGGAGGATTAGATGTGGTAAGCTATTCATACTTAGTCCAGTACCTACTAGCACTGCCTCCAAAAAGTGTTGTAATAAACCTCTGTGTACACAGATGAGATTTTTACCTTCTTTGATGAGAATGATTTAAAAAAAACAAAAACAAAAACAAAAAAAACTCCTGGAGTTGAATTACAAGATCTAAGTTTTTGAACATTTTTGTTTCTCTCAAAATTTACTGCCAATTTGCTTTCCAAAAGGGTTATTCAATTTATTCTCCCTCCAGTGTCTGAGCAAATTTATCTCACCCAATTTCTGGCAGTGATATTTGCTGTCATTGAAGTTTTTTATTAATGTATTAACTAGAAAGTGTTGCATCACTATTTTTTAATTGTTGTTTCTTTAGGAACTCTTGGGGTAGACACATTTGCTCTTGTGTGTTTCTTGGTCTTTGAAGTCTTGGTGTTTTACTTAATGATTTGCATGAGATTTTTGAATAATATATAAAGTAACTATCATTCCTTCTCAGATTGTTTTCTCCACCTGTTTTCCTTTCAATTTTGGTTCTGTTGTCTTTCACTGTGCTTCAGTAACAAGTAGCAGAGAGTGTGTCTCTTATTAATACGGCCTTCTGCAAGGAAGTTTTGCCGTGTTTGGGCTCTAGAATGATGATGATGCCATCTTAGTTCTCTAGTGCTGCTATAACAGAAATACCACAAGTGGATAGCTTTAACAAACAGAAAATTATTCTCTAACAGTTCAGAAGGCTAGAAGTCCAAATTCAGGGAGCCAGCTCCAGGGGAAGGCTTTCTCTTTCTGTTGGCTCTGGGGGAAGGTCTTTGTCATCAACCTTTCCCTGGTCTAGGAGCTTCTCAGTGTAGAGACCCCAGGTGCAAGGGGTGTGCTCCACTCCTGGCTCTTCTTGCTTGGTGGTAATGAGGTTGCTATTTCTCTGCTCTCTCCTCTCTCCTTTTGCCTCTTATAAGATAAAAGGTGATACAGGCCACACCCCAGGGAAACTTCCCTTACACGCCAGTGTAGGCCCTCCTTGAAGAGGTATGTGGTCACCTGCCTCTGGCCTTCCCTTCAGGGCTCTGGGGCTAGGAGCTGGAGAATAACCACATCCCCATTATGCAGAACCCACTCCCAAAATGCAGGCTGCATTTCTAGCGTGTGCCCTTCTCTTCCTCTTTGCTGCAGTTGCCTATCTTCCTTTGTCCATCCTGTCTTCTCATCTCAACAGTCCGGGTATATGTGCGTGTGGGGTGTGTGAATGTGATGAGTGTGCGGGAGCACTAGCATGGGAGTGAGGGAGGGTTGGGTGATGGTGGGTCAGGAGGTAGACAGAGTTCAGGGAAACAGAAACATAGCTAATAAGAAAGAACCTCTTTTTGGTGTTTCCATTTTGCTCCTCTCATTTCTCTTCCTACTCCCTCCCAAACCTTTGGCCTCAGCTATTTCTAGACACTCACCCCTCTACACTGATAGGAAATAACCACCATTTCTCTATTGGCTCGGGCATCCTAGACCTTGAGGAGCAAAGCAGGCAATATAAAATGGGACTTGGCCCTGTGAAAGCAAGACAGGGCCTGAGACCTGCAATAACATGGTGAGAACCTGCCCTGAAGAAAAGAGCTAAAATGCAACCCTTTTCTAACACTGTTCACCAGAATGTGTTGTCTGCAGTAGGTAGCTCACTGCCATTTCCCAATTGGTCACACATCTGTAGTCCCACCTGTTGCAGGCCCTCAGGACAGAGGTCAGAGGCGAGGGAGGGGGAAGCTAGAGGCTTCCTGAGCCTACAGAACTATGGGTGTGAACAGCTATTCACTGCCTTGGGGATATTTGTGGATTGAATTGTGTCCCCCAAAAATATCTGTCAACTTGGCTAGGTCATGATTCCCAGTATTATACGATTGTCTACCATTTTGTCATTTGATGTGATTTCCCTATGTGTTGTAAATCCTATCAATATGATGTAATGAGATGGATTAGTGGCATTATATTGATGAAATCTATAAGATTAGATAGTGTCTTAAGCCAATCTCTTTTGAGATATAAAAGAGAAAAATGAGCAGAGAGACATGGGGACCTTATACCACTAAGAAAGCAGTGCCAAGAGCAGAGTGTGTCCTTTAGACCTGAGGTCCCTGCACTGAGATGCTCCCAGACCAAGGGAAGACTGACACATCACAAGGATCTTCCTCCAGAACTGATAGAGAGAGAAAGCATTCCCCTGGAGCTGGCACCCTGAATTTGGACTTCTAGCCTACTGGACTGTGAGAGAATAAACTTCTCTTTGTTAAAGCCATCCACTTGTGGTATTTCTGTTATAGCAGCCCTAGATAACTAAGACACAGCTCGTGTAATAACAATGCAGCCAGCTTCTGGGGACATTGTGGATTTCTCATTTATGGAAATTTGTAGGACATCTGAGGCCACAACCTGTGAGCAAGAAACTACAGAAGAAATGTGGTGGACTTCCAGGATAGCAGAAAAACAGCAATAACAATAATAACAACAACAAAAATAATACTAGCTAAACTTGTACATAGATCAAGAGGCAGTCATTCGAATAGAACAAGGGGATTCCGTGTGGTTTAAATTCAGGAAAGGTGTGTATCAGGTTTGTATCCTTTCACTATACTTATTCAGTCTGTATGCTGAGCAAATAATCCAAAAAGCTGGACTATATGAAGAAGAACAGGGCATCAGGATTAGAGGAAGACTCATTAACAACCTGTGATATATGGATGACACGACCTTGCTTGCTGAAAGTGAAGAGGACTTGAAGCAATTACTGATGACGATCGAAGACCACAGCCTTCAGTATGGATTACACCTCAACATAAAGAAAACAAAAATCCTCACAACTGGGCCAATAAGCAACATCATGATAAACAGAGAAAATATTGAAGTTGTCAAGGATTTCACTTTACTTGGATCCACAATCAACACCCACGGAAGCATCAGTCAAGAAATCAAACGACCCATTGCATTGCGCGAATCTGCTGCAAAAGACCTCTTTAAGGTGTTAAAAAGCAAAGATGTCACCTTGAAGACTAAGGTGTGCCCGACCCAAGCCATGGTGTTTTCAGTCGCTTCATATGCATGGGAAAGTTGGACAATGAATAGGGAAGACCAAAGAATTGATGTCTTTGAATTATAGTGTTGGCGAATAATATTGAATATACTATGGACTGCCAAAAGAATTAACAAATCTGTCTTGGAAGAAGCACAGCCAGAATGCTTCTTAGAAGCAAGGATGGTGAGACTACATCTCACATACTTTGGACATGTTATCAGGAAGGATCAGTCCCTGGAGAAAGACATCATGCTTGGTAAAGTAGAAGGTCAGTGAACAAGAGGAAGACTCTCAATGAGATGGATTGACATAGTGGCTGCAACAATGGGCTCAAGCATAACAACGATTGTGAGAATGGCATAGGACCGGGCAGTGTTTCCTTTCGTACATAGGGTCGCTATGAGTCGGAACTGACTCAACAGCACCTGAAAACAACAACAAAATGTATTGAATTTTTACTATGCACTAGGCATGGTCCTAAGCACTTTAATCTTCAAACAATATTATGAAATGGGTACTATTATTTATCTTCATCATACAGGTGAGGAAACTGAGGCTAAGAGGTATTAAGTGACTTGCCTGCAGTGGCACAGCTGTTAAGTGTCAGAGCTGAGGTTCCATGTGATGGTAAAGCCTGCATTATTAGTGATACAATTGCTTGTCTAACATGCTAGGCAACTAAGTAGTCAGTCAGTTTGTTCTGTTCATTCTTGTATTTCATTTAGTTTAGGGTTTCTGAGGTATCCGCAGAGCCTGAAGTTGTATCTACAAGCATGGGGCTCTGGGACACCCAGGTGTAATGGCTCCATGGCGTGGTGCTTTCAACAGAGGGAGCTGACTGATTCCAGGAAGAGTTTTCTGAAGGAGGAGGACACAGTGTTGTAGAGGACAGGGGTCACTGCTGAAGTGACATAGAAAAGCATATTAGTCACCATGCAGAAGTAGTGATAGAAATCATAGACTGTGCTGGAAGAGAAACCCATAGAGCTTGGTTAGAGAACCTGTCATCTTCTCACAGCGTCCACCCCTTGCTCTGGTGAAGAATGTATTTGTCCTCCAAACAGTTAGGTGAGGAAGGAATGCTTTCTAGTAGAATGCATGATGTGAATTCAACAAACGTTCTGTCAACACCAGCTGCCCTTGGCTGATCCAGTCCACTCAGCCTCTATGATCCCAGGCCACCAGCTGTAGTTCCCAGGCATCTGCACAGTAAAAGCAACATCTGCTGATAGAGAAGTCCTTCCAGGCCACCGAGATCTTGGGAGTCCTGTACTGCTGGGTGTAGCCAAGCACAAGTGAAATACCAAGATGTGAAAGTCTTTCTGAGAATCCATGCTTCTTATTGCAGAGATTCTCTGGGGATGCAAAAGACTTTGCATGTGCACGTGTGTGTGGGGGGTGTTGGTAACTCCAGAGAATGTGGCACCTGTTGACACAGCTGTTTACCTGGAGGCTACATAGAATCTCTATTCTCTTGGATGTTTGACTCCCATTTATGATCAGGGACACAGTGCTTTTCAAATAGAGGATAATAAATTCTCTACTATTCTTCAACCATGTCATAAAAAGGTGTGCGTGTCCTGGTCTCTGTCTAAGGGGCCTTTGTTAGCCCATGGAATCATGGATCTGAGTCTTCCTCCCTCTTTCCTTCAGCATGGCCTTCTCCTCCCTAGCCTGTAGGCTTCCCTATCTCCTCAGGATGCCCACAATCCTGACTGACTACCACCAACAAGGCCACTCACTCACATGGCCTTATGAGTTCAGAGAGGTTTATAGATAATGTCCTGTTCCCCACCCCAAGCTGGGAGATTTTAAAGGTGCAGACCCAGATAGGACCAGCTGAAATGGAGGCCAGAGTTTCAGAGGACCCAGCAATGGCAACCCCAGGCCAAGCCCAATGGACCTGTTCACTGTGTGGGGAGCACTTACAACACACTTAACTCGGTCCACCTGTCATCAGTGATGTAGCAGTACATGAGCCTGTAGGCATGGTGCAGCAGTCAGCACACAACATACGCAGCCATGATGGTTCCTGCAGAAAAACTGGAGAGAGAGACACAGCAACAGACAGACAGCAAGCATGTCCTCAGTTATGTCAATTCCAGACAGGAAGATGCCAGAAGGTGACAACCACATTTCCCTGTAACTTTTTCCTGGGGTCTAAGGGTTGCAAGGGAACATTGAGGTTACTTAATACAACCCTTTCTGATTCTGTTCCCAAATTTTGCTTTTTCCTTTCTTCTGGGTAAATAGTCATTTCAACTAAGACCTGTACAATGGCACACTTCTATGACCTCCTTCTGGACACTAGAATATATTCCCAAATGATAGTTAGCTATTTCTACTTAGTATCTAACCTCATATACAACAAAACTTAAATGTCTTTTCTGTCTTACAAAACCTCTCCCTTCTCTATTACTTTTTCTGATTGATGGTACCACTGTCCATCTAGCACTAAAACCATTAACCAGTGTCTTCCTATTTTCTTCTTACTCTGTAAATCAAGCCTATAAAAAGTTTCTCCTTAGCATCTCTCCTCTCCATTCCTTCCTCCTGCCCTCCTCTGCTCCACACTATGAGGTCATTGTGTTCTCTCCACCGGTCTATGACAACAATCCCTCATTGGTCCCTTTGTCCCTAATCTTATAACCCTTCCATCCCTTCCTCCTACACCTATCCCAAAAAGCAATTCCATCCTCTAGTCCAGTGTGGTCCAGGGACTAGCAGCAATAGCATCAACTAGAGCTTGTTGGAAATTAAGCATCTTGGGCCCTCCACAAGCCTTCTGAATCTGAATCTCTGGGTGTGGGCTCCAGCAATCTCTGTGTTCCAACTCTCTGGATCATTCTTATGCACACTAAAGTTTGAGAACCACTGTATATGGTCCATCCTCCAAAGAGCTGTTGAGTGCAATATAGGTAAAGAGTAAATCCTTCCTGTCACTCCTGGGCATTGACTCTTTCAGTGACTACCCATTTGCTATAAGATGAAGCCCAGACACTTTTATGTGCTGATTTTGTATTACTTATCATAGAGCATTATACTTATCTCTTACATTACTGTTTTATGCACAAGACCGTGACCTTGATGAAAACAGATACCTACTAACTCTATCCTCCTAGATCTTAGTGTCTGAGTTACAACAGATACTTGGAGAGACCTTTGGTTTTTTTTTTTTTTTTTTGTGCCTTTTTGTTTCTTTCACAAGGCTAAGTTTACACAAACAAACCTGATCAGTGTTGCAGTGGGGAAAGTGGAGAGTTGGTGGGAAATGGACTTAGGGACCCAGAGAATCTGAGAGTCCACAATTCCAGATCTGAAGGCCCTTAAATATAAGCACTTTTCTTATTACTTCATACAGCCAGACTTCCTGAGAAGTAGCCAAGCATCTTCTTGCCTTTGTGTACTACACCTTGGAGCAGATCAGAGGTTTCATGTATAGCATTCTCGTTCCTTCCTTAATTATACTACTGAACCTTGCAGGAAGCCTGTTAGTGATTATAAAATTCCTTGGCTGCCCTTGAGGCATGGTGGAAATTAGGCCTAGAGAGAGGTAGTAACTTGTTCAAGGTCCCTCAGCCAGGGTTTGGTGGAGATGGGCGTAGGGCCCTGAGACCCTTTCTCTCAGGATGTGTTACAGAGGACTTAACTAAGAATCTGGATGCTGTGCTGGAGGCCATGGATCTGGCTGGATTCCTTGCATCTCACTGGTTGGCCTGGCCCGTCAGGGAAAGCATCTTCCTCCAAGTGCTGAAGCGAGAGAGACCCTCTTTGCTCATTAGCTCCAGGCGGTGGGGGGCAGAGTCATCTGGGGCAGAAGTGGATGGCATCTGGGAGCAGAGGGACACCAGGTGGTTCACAGTGACCCTGTTCAGGAAGCAGTTAGAGCCAAGGGGAGCACAAAGGGCACCAGTACATTCACCTGTAAAGGCAATTCCAAGGGTTATGGTGGTTCTATAAGGCAACTCAAGGGTTTGTGACTTTCTGGCCATAAAGCTGGGTCCAAGGGCCCAGGAATCTGGAGCAGCAGAAGAGGGTCACAGAAGGGTTAGAAGATAAAGTTGGGAGAATTCTCAGAAAATAAGGAGAAAGAAATGAAAATAGGAAAGAAAAGATAAGAAAATCTGGGATTAGTCTAGGATTTTCATCATCTAAATAATAGTGATTCCAGAAAAAAAAAATGAATAGAGAAAACAGAGGGTAGGAAATTATAAACACACACACACATTTAAGAAAACATCCCCAAAATGGAGGGATATGAGCTTCTAGATTGAAAGCCCCCCCTCCCCCAGCTGGGTGCCCAGAACAATGGAAGAAAACAGACCCACAGCAAGGCATGTCCTGGTGACTTTACCACCCCAGGGATCAAAAGACAATCGTAAAAGCTTCAGAAGAGATAAAACAAGTGATATACAAGGATGGGGAACCAGAATGATACAAGACTTCTTAAAAACAACAGTGGAAGCTAGAAAATAATGGAGCAATACTGTAAGATTTTGAGGAAAAATAGTTTCCACCTTAAAACTTTATACCCAGCCATATTATGACAAATGTGAGAATAAAATAAAAAAATCTTAAGACATAAAAATTCTTAATTTTTTTTTTTTTTACCTTCCACAGACCTTTCCTTGGGTCTCAGGAGATTACAACAGAATATGTTTCATTAAAAATAAAGTTATAGGCCAATAACTAGGGAGACCTGGCATTCAAAAATAAGGTCACCAACAGAGGATCGAAAAGAGGTTTACCGGAGTGACGGGAGGGAATTGCCAAGAAGACAGCTGTGCAGCAGGCCTGGGGAGAAGTCAGTCAGATTGGATCAAGGGTAGAGAGGGCTCTGGGAGATGACCGAAAAATAAGATGTGAAACTGGCAGATTATCTGATGGTTCTGAACACACTGAAATGGTATTTACACTTACCGGAGTGAGTTGAAAACCAATTAGAAATAGGTACATAGACAACTAACCAAAACCAAGCCAAACCCATTGCCGTCGAGTCGATTCTGACTCACAGACAGCTAAGCAAGTGAAAAAAAGATTATTATTAACTGCAAAGAAAATAAAAGCTGTATTGGAAAAGAAATATAATGAAAATATATGACATGACTCATCGGGGGAAAATGTTTACATAATAAGCTCAATAATATAAATACCGAACATAAATCTAACCAAATACCACTATGTAATCATACTGGAAGGATGGCGAGGGAAGTGTAAGTGTGTGAATGTGGTGTGTGGAGGTTTGCGGTGGGAAGGTAAGATAGCCAAATGCTCATTCTCTACAGTTAGAAGACAGTGGATACAATTTAAAACTTGGAAATAAACACACATGTTCATTACGAATATGTAAGCAGAGTAGCAACAGCTAAGAGTGGGTGGTAGTTCCCTTTAGACTAGAAAATATGAATCCATTGTGGCGGAAGGGGACTCTGTTTTACATTAGTAGCTTTGTATTATCATTTGGCATTTTTTGACTTATGAAAAACAAGTTTATTATATAATATCATATTTTTAAAAATGTATCCTTTTAAAAATTCAGAATACATGTGTGTTTTAGGTCTTTTCTTCATTACGTCTAAGGCTCTCCTACTCCTTTCCCTTTGCAAACATTTTTAAAAAGAAAAAGAACTGAACCATATTTTAATAACACTATACCAACCAACTTTACAATCAGTACAAAATATCTGAATTGGTGTTGCGCCTTTTAATGGAGTTACTACTTATGCTTTTTTTTTCCCCCAGTCTTAATGTATGTTCACAAATCAGCAGCACCGAGGGAAAAATAAAGCACTGTCCATGAAAATCATTTTAATTTGTTGCTGAACCAAAGTTTTGATCAATGACAACATACTTAATTACTATCAAATTGTAGCTTCCATACCAGTCGACAGAGATTGAAAGTAAAAATACATTCATACACTGATTATTAATCTTTGGAAGTTTTAAAATCTTTCTGTAAAAACTACATGGTTTTGTGCACTTTCAAAAACCATGAGAAATTTTCTTTGTCTAAGAACACTGATTAATATGGAAAGTGAATCAATTCACTTAGTAAGACACTAAAAAGAAAAGTTTGTCAAAAGAATCCTAATTTGAATCTGGTTATTTTGTTGTGCTAACATATATCGTGTGCTTCAAGTTAAACATTTTTTTATGGGCTATTTGTCAAATAATGCTGTTACAGTGAAAGGATTCACTACATACAATGTCAAATGCTTGCCCCTAGCACATTTCACAGCTTCAGCACTACAGACTGTTACTGAAAAAATGCATTGGTCAGTCCGAACCATGTCAAGTAAACTATGCAAGTAGTTTATTCACAACACAAATCTTGCTTAGCACTTTTTTTTTACCCAAGTCTAACTCCAAAATAGGTACAATCTGGAAGCCACTACCGCAGTCTGTGAAGAGTGGTGGGACGTGGCTACCAGACATTTTGAACATGTGGTCTGCAGGGTTCATTCCTATTGTCCACACCAGGTCCCAGCAGAAAGCTACAGTCAGCCTGAAGTGTGAGCAGCAGTGCACTTTCTATTCTGCTGCAGCTCAGAACCTGCCTGGAGGATTCTGGGAGTAGATGAGTATCCCATGCTGCTCTGTGGCTGTAATGTGCAGGATCCTCCAGGGAGGAGGAGGGTTAGGCTGAGAGGGCTCAGGGACCAGGGTCACAGGCAGGGGTAGCTCAGCTTTCCTATCAGCTGGTCCTGCTCATCCACAACAGCTGGGTATTTGCCTGTATTTTCTTTCTTTCAAAGTAATTTTGATAGATTTCTTTTTAGTTTAACTGTTGTTATTTAATTGATGCTGCATTCATTCTTGTTGAAGTTTGATGAAATTATATTTCCTAAGATTATGTCCTTCAAATAGATTATTTTAGTATAATTCTTATGAATACATAATTTCCACTTCATTGAATCATCTAGAATTAGATAGTCTAAGTATCATATTTTGATCGAAATAAAATATTCACTATTACTTAAGCTACAATTGAACTTTGACATGCGCATGTGAAGGCATGTGAAATGAACAAAAAAAAATTTTTTTTCTATATGCTATGGACTATTTTTGGAGCCCTGGTGGCGCAGTGGTTAAGAGTTTGGCTGCTAACAAAAAGGGCAGCAGTTCAAATCCACCAGCCACTCCTTGGAAACCCTATGGGGCAGTTCTACTCTATTCTATAGGGTCGCTATGAGTCGGAATCGACTTGATGGCAACGAGTTTGGTGTGGGGTTTATGGGCTATTGTTTTTTAAAATAGCATATAAGCCCACCTCCAAACCAAAACAACAGTGATACCCCCAGCTGAACATTAATATTTTTGTTAGTTTAGCCTAAATTCATGGATTAACTTAGAGGAGAGTTGACATTTTTCAACCATTTATTTCTTGTTTTGTAATTATTTTTTGACTTTTGTTATTTTGTTTAGTATATTCTTTGTTGTTTGAATGTTTTGAAATTTTTTTACAGGAAAAATTAAAGTTTTCCCTTTAAAAAGATCAGTGAGAGCAAGGCATTATTATAATTCCCACCCTACATATGTGGAAACTAAGATAAAAAACCTTCTTCTTGGCACATAACTGGGCCAGAGCAGCCTCAAGCCCAGGTTGTCTGCTCCCCGTTCCACTAGTTCCACCACCCCACGCGGGACCTGAGATGAACACTAAGAAAAGGTGGGAATCACTTTCAGAAAAGGCTTTTCAAAAGGACCATAAATGCCTTACCTCACATGCTGAGAGAATTCAGAAGAGAGGGGAGAGAGCCCCGGGTGTCGGGGCATTGGGAGAAGGCTTTAGGTGAGAGCTTCACTTTGAATGATAAGAAATTTGGAAAGGGAGAGAGCAGAGAAAATGTCTTTCAACTTAAATGCCAGAAAATACTAGGTTAGGTACGTGTGAGGACAGGAGTTACGGGCCCTGCCTGGGGGAGGCAAGACTGAGGGAGGAGAGGTTGGGATAATAATAAGGAAATGAGGCTAGAAGCCTGAGCAGGGTCCCCAAAAGAGATCCGGAGTGTCTTCCCCTTCCCTATCCGACCTCTGGAGAGGGCCACAGGAATCCTGCTCTCGATTCACCTGGGGAGTTTGTTTGAATGCTGCCTCTGGGGCCCACTGAATCAGAAGCCAGTATGGGTCATGGAATCTGAATTTGTAACAAACTCCCCAGGTAATTTTTATACCCAGCAAAGTTTGAGCACCACTCATGTATGAGTGGTAGGAGCATAGACTTTCAGAGTCAACCTTGAATTCATATCTGGACTTCTCTTATTGTTTCACTTTGGCCAAGTCTATACCCACGTCTTCTGTAAAATGAGGCCAATGACCCAAGTTTCGGGATGGTTGGAGTATCAGAGGTGAAAACACAGGCCAAGCCCTCCTTTCCTCCCTCGCTCCTCCCCGTATCAGCTGTTCTGGAGGAGCCGTCTTGCCATTACCTGGATGAAGACTTGGAGCCTGATGTGGCTCACTAGCACGGAGCACACGCGCGAGGCGGTCTCCGACTCCTCGCTCACCGTCTCCAGCTCGTGCTTCTGCCCCATGATGACTGCTATGGGCAGGGCGAGGCCAAGCGAGGGGACCCAGACCAGCAAGAGCAGGCTCCGGGGCCTGCGGGTGTCAGCAGGCGGCGGGCGCGCAGGGGTCGGCCCACAGCCGGGCAGTGCTCGGCGCTCAGGCTGGCCACACTGACGACCGTGTCGTCGACGCACAGCTGGCGCACGAAGTACCAACCGCGGCAGCCCGGGTCGCCGAAGACCCTGGGGTAGTGGAACAACACGAGGCTGTGGAGCTCCATAGGGAAACTGACCAGCAGCAGCAGCCACAGGACGGGGAGCGCCAGGCTGAGCACGTTAGTGCAGGCGACCCGGGGTCTGGCCAGCACCTTCAGCACCACGTGGCCGGACAGCGCATTCCCCGCCGTGCGCAGAGCAAAGGTGAGCGAGTACAGCGCAGTGAAGAGCACCTTGGCGCAGAGGCGCGTGTCCCCTCCCAGCCGGGCGTCCAGGCTCAGCATTGCGCTGCGGGTGGCTCTCGGGGACCGCGGACTGCTAGCCTCGGTCTCCGTTCCTGCCCAAGGCCTGCGCTACCTCCCTGAAACTTAAGTTCTCTCTCACTGCCCGGGAGACTGGGGTCAGCGAGAGCGTCCTTCTCGGTGGGAACCTCCAGAACTGGGAAGACACGCCCTCTGAATGGTCCCCCTGAGCAAACGCGGGATCATGCCTGTTGGTGGTGTTCACCTTTTTCTGTTCAGTTCAATCCAAGAAAGCACGCGCTGGGTGGAAAGTGGACTCTTTTTGGGGCCAAACAGACATGAATTGGAAGGGACTCTACCATTTGCTAGCTCTGTGACTTTGGGCAAGTTTTTTTAACCTATCTGAAACTATACCTGCAACTGTAAAATATTATCCACATTTCAGAATTTCTGCGAAGATTAAATGAGCGAATCTGTGACAGCTCCTGACCTGCAGCATAACCAGGGGTCTAGAGTGTACTATGTGCCTAGGCCTGTGCGCTTCACGCTCCTACGATCTGTTGTGGGCACCCCTTCTGGGAGGACTTCCTTGCAGTTCCTTTTCTCTCAAGGAAGTTTCCAGAGATGGCTTGGAAAGGAATTGCACTTAAACACTGTCAAAGACCAGGGATTTCTACTCTGTTAAAATAAAAGCAAAGAGATTTATTGAAGGCTTGAGACAGTTCAAACCCAAAACATGCTCAGTTTGCAAAGTGAAACCAAGCACTCTGCCTTTCTGGAAACAAAGTTGAGCTTTTATCCATAAAAACATGACTAATTCTATGAACATTTCAAAATCAGCTCTTTCTTCATATCAGTTTCTTATCTCTTTCCAGAAGACCAGCTGTGCAAAGCAATTGTGTCTGAGGACATTGCATTTTCATCATATGCTTCCTAGAACATTCTGAGTACATACTTTTCTGTCCCCTTCCCCTGCTTACTCAGAGTGATTTGGGTTAATCTTTTATTCAGAGCTCTCCCTGCATGCTTTTAGATATGGAGCCAGCCCACATCTCTCAAGAACAGGGGGCAATTTTTGTAAACATTCTTTCTGAGAGGAGTTGCTGTTCTGCCTCCCTCATCTTCTCTGAGTCAGTGCAGAGTAACCCATTACTGTGAGCTCAGCTTGGCCGCCTCTTACTTTTTTCAGGTCTGAACAAAATGGAGTTCAGCCTGTATCCTGGGTAGAAGCCCCTCCTATGCCAAGCCCCCAGATTTTGGGGGGTTTCTTCCACAACACTCGGCAGATGTTATACTTCTTTCTAAAGGGCTTTTCAGTGCTTAACAAATATCCCTAAGGAATCCCTTTTTACTGACAGATAAATCCTCATGGTATCATGATTTCTCCCAAGCCTTTGAGAATGTCGTTCTCATGTAGCAGTGAGAGGAGAGGAAAAGGAGTGTGTTTAGCATGTTTTAAAGCTTTTCATTGGCCTCTTTCCTGAACTCATAGAGGACTCCAGAACTTTAGAGCTGAAAGACCCTCCAGAGGTCCTCTCTTCTTACCCTGACAACCCTGGCATTTATTGGGGAAGAACTGGAATTAGAACCAGGTCCTCTGATTTTTTTTTTTTTTTTTTTTTTTACTTCAGTTAAGTTGTTATGACCCAATCAATGATAATTACTTTAATCTTCCATATGGTTATGTAACCATACTCCAACTGAAATTAAGCTTACATAAATTTACTTTTACTATACTCTTACCCTGGAAGGTTTTTGAGGCTGGGTATGTGACTGGAAACATTAATATGATAACTTTATTAAATAGCTACACAAGAAATAATAGAGATCAATAATCAACAGGGCTGAATTCATGGGCATGCATCCTGTACAATTGCATAGGACCCCTTTCTTAAAAGGCCAGGGGGTCTCTGATGCCAGGATCCTGGATTTTTCCTTGCTTTGTATGTCCCGGTTCCTGACCTTCTCGCCTGTTGCATGCAAGGTTCCATCAAATGGGTCTCCAGTTCCTGGGAGGTTTTTGGTACTGGTGCCAGCAAATGACCTGGAGAGATTATTTGTTAGATGCACACTTGAATTCTGCCTCCCTCTTCCCCTTTTAAGGACCATGTGATTATGTCAGATTCACCTAAATAACATAGGAAGTACAGAGGCTGAAATGAGAAGGAGAGATGCCAGGCATGGTCCAGTTCTGAAGTGGCAAAGACTGGTAGGAGAAGAGGGCCTGGGGTAACTTTTCAGGTTATTGTTTAGAGATAATCCAGGACAATCTCCCTGTTTTAAAGTCAGCTGACTAGCAACCTTAATTCCATCTGCAACCTTAATTCTCCCCCACTATGTAATGTGGCGGAAGAAGTAATGTACGTCACATAGCGCATTCATAGGTTCCAGGGATTAGGATGTGACTATCTTTTGGGGGGAGCATTTTTCTGCCTACCACACTTGGGCTCAGGTTCTTGCTCCCTCTCCTACCCCTCTGCCAACCCAAGGGTGGTAATGGCCCTTCCCTTTTGCTGGCCCCAGGGTGCTTCACCATTCCTTGGTGGTTTTCTCAACCCTGCCCATATCCTTGTAAATTGTCCCTTCATTAAACCTCTCTCCAGTACCCATCGGAGTGTGCCATCTGTTTTCTGCTGGGACTTTGATTGATATAGTGCACACGCATTTGTGTGTGTAATCATGGGTGTATGTGTACACATGTGTATGTGCACAAATGTGCTGACATCTGAATGATCCTGATCAGTGAAAATAGGTAGGATGCTACTGATTAAGAAATCACTTACTTTCCCCATAGTGCCCCTCACTGAAGTTACAGCATGTTTGAATTTATGTAACATTGCTAAGCCAGTGTCAGGGCTATTTTGTTTAAGTCACAGTCACTGTCTACCTTATTGCTGGGATTTCTGATTCGACTTTTTTTTTCCTTCCAGATACAAAAATACACATATCTCAGAGCACACTGCTGAACCGTCAGGATTTGAATACAATATTGCTGCCCTCTCTACCCATCTACCACAAGAAACTAATAAGACAAACAGGCATTTTGCTACTTTTGCTTACAAAGGAAAATTATCTATCAATAAATTCCATAGGCATGGATGATGGCTGGCTCCTGTGCCCATAACATGGTATATTAACATGGTATATTATTTGCTTTGTAAGTCATTAGTGATTTAAAACCTGATGGAGATCTTTTTTTCACACTGTGTGCTCAGCACTGTGTGAGGTACTATTGGTGCTAAAGATGAGTGAGTTGTAGACCCTACCCTTAGGGAGTCCATATGATGGTTGGGATGATGAGACACAGACTCACAGACGACTAACCTTCCCTGACATACTCTCAGTATCAAATAAGGGAATTGAACTGTGAGGGCTATGTCTAAATTCCATTTTCTCCTCGCCAAGTGAGTCTCTCTGAACCTCAGTTTCCTCTTCTGGGAAACGGTAACACCTAACCTTTAGGATCACCAACCAACCATTTGTTAGTTCTGTAGTGGCTTGCATGTTGCTATGATGCTGGAAGCTATGCCACCGGTATTTCAAATAGCAGCAGGTCACCTCTGGTGGACTGGTCTCAGTGGAGCTTCCAGACTAAGACAGACTGGGAAGAAAGGCCTGGCAATGTACTTCCAAAATTAGCCAGTGAAAACCCTATGGATCACAAGAAAATATTGTTCGATACCGTGCTAGAAGATGAGCCCCCTAGATTGGAAAGCATTTAAAATATACAGTATTTACACCAATGGACTCGAGCATAACAATGATGGTGAAGATGGAGTAGGACTGAGCAATGTTTCCTTCAGTTGTCCATGGAGTCACAATGAGTTGGATAGCTGACTTGATGGCAACTAAAAACAGCAACAACTTTGAAGAATATTGTGAGAATTAAACACAATATGTGTAAGGAAAGCACTTGGCCCATAGAAGGAGCTCGGAAATGTTGGTCCCCAGCCTCTCACTCTTTTCCCTCAGAGGTCAAAGGGAGGAGGAACCATGGCGGAGTGGAGAGATCAAGGAAGGTTTCATGGAAGAAGTTGGGTTTGATCTGGGCCTTGAAGGTGGAAGAATTTGGAAAGGAAGAGAGGAAGAGAAAAGCATTCCAGGAAGGACTCAGCATGAAGTAAGATTTAGAAATGAGAAACTACTCAGTACACTTGGGGGCTTCATAAGTGACCCCCAGATATTGAGTCTAGTTGCCGAGTGGGAGAGGTAGATCCCCTGTGGATCCTCAGCAGCTATATAGTTACAGTGGGAATATTTTAGGGAAGTTCAGCTTGTTCCTGGCCGTGGTCACTAGGGGCAGCAATGGAGTATTCTGGAGGTCTATTGTAGGAAAAGTGGGAGAGTCTATGGCTGATGGTAGTCCAAAATAAACGGAGGCTCAGTTTCTTCATCTGTAAAATGGAGCTATTACTGCCTCCCTGAAAGTTGTCGTGAGGACTTATAGTTGCTAACATTTATTGAGGGCTCAGTACATGCTAGGATCTCTGGTGGCACAGTGGTTAAGCACTTGGCTGCTAACTGAAAGGTCGGCGATTTGAACCCACCAGTGGCTCCATGGGAAAAAGATGTGACAATCTGCTCCTGTAAAGATTTACAGTCTTGGAAACCCTATGGGGCAGTTCTGCTCTACGCTATAGGGTTGCTAAGAGTTGGAGTCTACTCGATGGCAATCGGTTTGGTTTTGGGTTTTAACACGTGCCAGGCACCATATCAAGGACTTGACAGCATGTCATCTTGTGCTCGCTACAATGACCCTATGAGGGAGACAGTCTATTTTTATGCCCATTTTTCCCAGATAAGGAGTTAATTAGAGTTGGTTAAGTCATTCGCCCAGAGCCTCACCAGCTTCTAAGGGGCAGAGTCAGAGTTTGAGCCCAGGTTTGTCTGACTCCAGAGCATGAGCTTTAACCACTGTGCTGAGCTTCTGTTGTTGTTGTTGTTGTTAGGTGCCGTTGAGTTGGTTCAGACTCATAGTGACCCTGTGTACAACAGAACAAAACACTGCCCGGTCCTGCACCATCCTCACAATTGTTGTTATACTTGAGCCCATTGTTGCAGCCACTATGTCAATCCATCTTGTTGAGGGTTTTCC